TGAATTAGACTGACTTTCCTACTATCTACAGTTATGACGAGTATCATTCAATCTTTAATGCACTAATACACTATAATCTTCAAAATATATCCCCTTTTCTGTCTTTTATAATTTGTGTTAATGGATTAACTGCTGTAATCATTCTTATACAGATGAAATGCATTAGCTAATCAGTTGCACTGTGGGCTGTTTTTCAAGCATTCTCAATGCTTTTAACGAAGTAGGCCAACAATTGAAGTAAGAAATAATAGAGAAGATTTGTAGCTCAGGTGGATGATTTGCAATTATTAGTGTTCTCTGAGCTGGATGGTACTCAAACGAAAATGCAATTAACAAACACGTTAACATATAGATGAAATATACCAACTAATAAAAAGTAAATCATGTGACCAAAAAGTTTAAAATCCAAGTCAATAGAAAATGGTCAATACACATGTAAAGATGGTTACCGGGAGACTCAATCATATGACTCATGAAGAAATTTAAATCATTTCACTTTATGCTAAATATTGCGCTGAAGATGTTGTCCAGAAGGACGACGAAAGCTCCGCAACCAAACCAACCAGCTCAGAGAACACTAATAATTGCAAATTGAAGAAAGAATATGTAACACTCATTTAGGTGATGTGCACTGATTACTCCTCTTTACTACTTGAATGCCTCTCTTTTGAGTAGATTTCAACTCTACAGAATAAGTGTAAGGAATTCGTTAAAAGCTCCCCATTTATTACTATTACCTTTAGAGAAGAAAAAAAATCAATTTTCTCAGCATTTTGTTTTCCATATAATAGGAAAAAGTGCTCATTCGATAATAATGGATGCAAGGTTCATTAGTTTCAAAGAAATTAGACGCCCAGTAGTGGATAGTGAACGTTTATTGATGTTATTGTAGTTATTATCATATTTGTAGACATTTGAGTGAGTTTGAAATAAGGAAGTAATGCCAACTTCTTCTTCTTGTTTAACAAAAAAAAAGGTTAGTAATTCATCTGGGTATTTTTCAAGGGAATAAAATAACTCGAACATGAAATGTATTTATCAGATGTTTAGTTTAGTGCTCAGCCTAACGAGTCACACTTCCATATACTGGCTTTTAATGACTAATATGTGGGCAGTATTGTTTTGGATTTTGTTCTGGCTATTTGTAGTTCATTTTTTTAATGTCATACAGGACGAAGTGATTGGCTTTTGACGAACAAAGTGTCAGTGTGTGTCAGTGTTACTGTTCATTAGTTCAAGTTGTCGCCACACTTTATATCTGCACAGATAGTAGACATTTTTGGGATGGACGACAGGGAAATATAATTCAAATTATCATTGATAAGTTAAATGCGGAGATAATCATTTGGTGTTATAAAACAATCAGTGTTGTTAACAGCAATTTTTTGCTTTTTAATTAATTGTCGGTTTTTCCGTTGACTGATTGACCTGAAATGTTCGGCCTCTGTTGTCATGTCGGCTACTTGTGCTCGGATGCTTCAGCTATGTCTAAGGATTAACTTGAAGTAATTTGGTGGACGGTAGCTAGCAGTGGAATTCAAGATGCGCATTTTGTCCTATTTGGGACTCGTCAGCTGGATGCACCTTCATTCCCCAGTGAGTGAGTGAGTGATAGCGTCCCCACCGAGGCTTTAACCCAGCACCAATCGTCTCAAGCACCCCTGCTAGTCATCATTGACCAAATTACTTCAAGGTAATCTTCAGACACCGTCGAAACGTCCGTACTAGGAGCGGGCATGTCAACAGATGTCGAATATCTCTTATGCAGTCAGCTAACGGGAAAATCAATATTGACTTTGAAAATAAATAATTACTGATTCCTGTTTCACAAGAAGTGGCTCCTGTGGCCCAAGTAGTCTAGTGGATAGTGCTTTGGAGTTTGAAACGATGGGCTGTGGGTTCGAGTCTCAGTGGGAACACTATCACTCACTGACTGACTCGGGAATACAGGCACATTCAGTGACGAGTCCTAGACAGGACGAAATGCTAGTTACCATCCACCGAATTACTACAAAACAATTATTCCTTAACTAATATGAAAGTATAACTGCATTATGGATAAAAATTTTATTTTGATAAAATCACACAGGAGTACACACAGTAATATTCACTGATGACCACGTTTCGAGTACAGTTTATCTTTGGTACTCTTAGTTATCTCAGGGCACTCACTCACACAACTTTCTTGCTTCATTCATATACATGAGTAAAAATTAATGTTTAGACATTTGAATATAAGCAACATAAGATAAAGTATATTCGAAAATAATAATATTGGTGTTATTAATAAAATACAATAAAGCTAAAATATTCATTCAGACATCTATAAGCAAACAAAATAATTGAGCAAAGAATATCCTTTTCGATAAATTCCTCTTCCGGCTCTACAATTATGTATGCATGTTTATATACATAGAATATTCTAGAATAGTAGTCAATATCAATATTAGTATTTTTTAAATAATATCGTTTTGTAAACTAACATCAATGGAATTACAGTTCAATAAAGATGCATAAATTATCATAAGCATACAAATATAATAGCAGATAGAATATCAAATAAAATTAAGCAAATTTCCCCAGCAAATTAAGGATTATTAGAACCTTGATGGTCAAGGTAAGGATGGCCAACTGTCTGAACCAACCTCGTTTGGATATATAAGTTAGGTTTCTAAATTGTGGATCCCAACAGCCAGCCTCAGCAGTATGTAGTAGACGAACTCTTAAGGTAAAATTAAGATTAGTTAGTATGTGATAAAGGACTTTGAAAGCCTCGTTGATATCAATTTTGTGTTCTGTATCCACAAGATGAGATAGAATAGCGCTACGAATAGATTTTGTTCGTCATTTTACTCAACCACTATGCAGAATGATGTTCGGAACATCACTGATAAGATTTATCTGTAGTATATAAGGCGACGTTCATCGGCATAAAACGTCAAATTGTGGGGAGACAGATTTGACGTCGGAGAAAGCAAATAATTCAGCCTTGCAGAGAAACATGGGAGACGTGAAAAGGAACGCAAAGAAATACAATATGAAGGAAGGCGAGAAGTAGAACAGCACGGATGGTGATTTGAACATGAGGTGAACCTAATTTGGCTACAGAGTGATAACAAATTCCAAATAAACATTCTTTTACCAAGTCTTTTGTATTCTCCCCTTACATTAGCAAAGGTATTATTTTATTAGAATAAAACAGAATGAACAAGAGAAATTATTTCCAGTAAGTTGATGGTGGAGGTTTTTGGACATCTCAAATAAACTATGAGTCAACCAACAGCAACAACAACGACAACAGACAACATTCAGCATAAGTGGGAGGAACCTGAAAGAAACAACCTCCTTTACCTACCTGGGAAGCATCGTTTCAACTATAGACGGAACTTATGAGGATATCAAAGTAAGAATCGGAAAAGCAAGACAAGCTTTCACTACTCTCAAGTCTCCGTGGAGGTCAACAGCACTCCTTAGCATGGAAAATAACATCCGGATTTTCAACTCCAATGTGAAGTCAGTGCTACTCGCTATACGGATCAGAGACTTGGAGCGTCATGATGAGCACTTCAAACAAACTACAGACCTTCATCAACAGATGTCTCCGCTCAGTACTCAAGATGACATGGCCAGAAAACATCAGCAACAGGGAGGGATCTCTGGAACCGATTGTGAAACAAATAGGCAGGAAGAAATGGAGATGGATTGGCCATACTCTGAGAAAACAAACCATCAAGTGAATGACATCACACGGCAGGCTCTCTCTCGAGTTAAACCCGAATGGGAAGGGGGGAGTTGGTCATCCAATGGTGACTTGGAGGAGGTGATGTGAAGAGGAGGTGAAAGCATGTGGGCAGACCTGGAGCCAGGTGAAAACTTTAGCAGAGAACCGAACGCAATGGAGATGTGCATCTGAAGCCGTATGTTCCTCTAAGAATTAAAGGAAACAATAATAATAACTTTCTCTTTGTTCCTAGTCATTTCTGTCTAGAAGTTCTCATTGCTAACAATCCTACCCTTAATCATACATTGCTAGTTCACTTCATGCATGAAGCACTTAATAACCTCCATATTATGAAATAAAAACTGTGGTGGGTTGGTGTAGTTCGCAAATTTATGCAGGTCAAGAAACGGTACTGATTAATGCATTAAAATTATTGGCTAGGACCTTAGGATGCGAATATGAAGTCTAGGTATACGTAGTTCTGTTCCACTCATAGTTCTCACACAGACATGTGGGTAAAACTAACTCATTCAATCAAGTAACCGTGAACTTTAGTTGAAGACAAACAGAGAATATCTGAAATAATCTGAGCACACTTACAAGCAGATTTATGAAATTTATTTTACTTCACAAATATATTGACATAAAAGACTGTATTCTATGAATATTGTAAACTTTGACACTATCGCTTCTCCATGGCAAACAAACAAAATCATTTCACAAATATAATTTCTATAAAAGCTGTTTTTTCAAATATTGGTTTTGTCGTGATTTTGTTTGATTGGTTGGAAGATTTCATCATGGACTGATATCAGTTACAGAACCATTGGAAGACGTGCAAGGAGTACCGGACAGCTGTTTTGTCAGCCTAGTTTGGGACTCTTCAGCAGTGTGCACCAGGGTTGGAACCCAGTACCTTCTGGTTACCAGGCGAGCTAGTTCGTAGACCATAAGGCCACTGGGATCCGATCCAGTAACCAGTCCATGAATTCTAACTTCTGCTAATTCACGACATTGTGCTACTACTAGCCAATACCTTCTTCAATAAGTAACTGTCCTCATCTTCAACCTGCTGTACCCTATTGGTCATGGCTCCCCACTAGAACCCCATTTAACTGCCTTGGCTGAATAGGACCAGTCGCTAGTGAGCATCAGCTCAATTTTTGAGTAGTGGTTTTGTAGAGATTTTGTTTGATTGGTTGTAGGATTTAATTATGAGCTTATATCTCCAAACCCTAATTTGATCATTCTTTCTTTTTTTAATTCTTGTTGTCTACAGAAACTAAAATTCCGTCAAATGATATGAATAATCAAGGTGTTCTTCCTCCTAACCCTGATTTTAACGGCAGTGGTGACTTTCGTCGTAATGATATTGCTGATGAATACTGTGTCAAGTCCTCTACACCTGCGTCTTTATCATCATTTCATCGATCGCCTTCCCTATCACCTACACCTTCCTCGCATTCAGCATCTCCAGCCTTAGAAGCATCTGTACATACTGCCCCTAGTAGAAAATCATCTTCTGGTCAAATTGTCCGCGGTGGTGATTCAAGAGAACAACAACAACAACAAGAGGAAGAAGAGAATTTACAACAACAGGCGACAGGCACTTCAAAATCCTTACAGTCAAAACATCGCCATAGCCTAAATTATAATCATCAAAGTCAACTTCATTCTAATGATCTTTCAAAAACTGCAAAAAAGAATTCTTATACCTCATCCATGGCAAATAATGAAAATTATCGATCTTCTCCAGACTTGTCAAATGATCGACTTCATAAACCGGCGTTCTATGGGTCGACAGGAACAAATATTCCATGTTTTGCATCAACTGGTCAAGAATTGCTTGAAAATAGAATGGTTGGAATAAGTGAGTATTAAATAATGTAAATAGACAGTGTTTTTTTAAAAACTCATGCCTAATGTATAACTTTGGACAAGGAATGCAATTTGTTGAGTTGTTTTTTTGTTGTTGTTGTTTGAGGATATTTCTGCACCATTGTAATAATGTGTACCTCATATGGATTTTTCGATTCGATTGCATTCCTTTACGTTCCAAGTGGAACATAAGGCAGACTTCAAGCCTCAACTTTGAAGTTTCATTGGCAGTGATATTTTTTTATGGGTTGGATGGCTAGATTCCTGCGCAGCCTTTCCTCTTAATCGATCTTACTACCGTCTAAGCGAGGTAAAAGAGAGTATCGGCCGGAGATGGAACTCTGGACCATAGGTGAACCAGTGTTCCACTGGCTGAATGATTGATGAGCTTGCTCTGTGGCCGAAAAGTCCCGTGTTCGAACCCCGCTGGTGAGTTCGTACTGTCGACAAGTCCCAAGCACAAGGACAGCACAGCTGTCCTGTAATTCAAGGTTACAAATCCCACCTGGTCTAGCGGTTGGGATTCCTGGCTTCCCTCCAGGTAGCCTATGTTCGAAATCCAACAATTTGGTTACTCCTAAATTTTATGGGGAAAGTATGAACACTATACTCCGTAGCATTTTCTGGCTGCAGTATGAAGTGGGCCGGAGCTCTTTCTAGTGAGAAATCGTGACCAGTAGGGTCCACTCAGTCATGAGTGAGGACAAATACTCACTGAAGACGTCCACTGGTAGTCGGTCGGGCTAAAATCACGAATTGGCAGAAGACAGAATGCATTGACTGGCCATTGGATTGAGTTTCAGTGAGTGAATGGTCTACGAGCTTGACTTGAAACCGGAAGGTGTTGGGTTCAAACCCTGGTCAGTGAGTGAGTGCTGCCGATGAGTCCCGAGCACTGGGACTAAACAGCTGTCCAGTATTCTCTGTTGGTCTTCAATGGTTCTCCAACTGATATCACTCCGAAATCGAAAAAATCCAATTCCTAAAAACAAACTCTAAAAAAATTCAGTTATTCGTTTGTTATGAAGTGTGATCAAACAAAATGCAAATAGTGGTTCTAATATGTGATTCTCGAAGTTGTTGGTATGCATTGTTAAATAAATGTAAAAGGCACTAACTTTGAAACCCATTGCTTTGAAATATAGAAAATGAAACTGTGGATTACTTTGTTTGGACAGTAGATAGTAGTATATAATGCCATGAGTCTAGTCCTTGGTTTAGTGCAGACTGTTTTCTATCAGTGAGTCATTTCACGACTGCGGGTCTACCTTGCCGTCATGGCGCGCTCTGAATTGTTGTTAGATAGCTAGAGTCAGTCAGCAGGAAGCCTGGACCTCGGGTTTGGTGCTTGTTTGCACTTGTTAGCGAGACGTATCTGCAATCCTGAAGGAACTAACTGATAGAAATCTGTCCGAACAAAATGAAGTACTAGGCACATGATATTAGTTAATAACAAGTGTCCAATGAAGTTATCGATTAGAGTCCTACACGAGATTGATCGCAAGCCTAAATAGCTCAGTGGTAACGTCTTCCACTACAGCACTGGGTGACCTGACTTCCATTCTCAGAAGGGATACGAGTTCCTTCAAGACTGTAGATACGCCGTACTAACCAGCCCCAACAAGCACAAAACCTAGGTAAAGGGCTTCCTACCGATTGCCTCCAACTACGTGAAATTAAGGAGTGCTATTTGGACTCGGTTATATGTTACACAAAAATAGAGTCAGAAGTGATCGAAGCATCTGTTAGAAAACATTTACGATTTTAGACATCACTTTGTAATTACAAATGTATATTGTGAATAACGTTCTCAATTTTGAAACATTTTAAGATAATACTTTACCTGAGTGAGTATCTATTAAACATTGCATTCTGATATATTTTAATTTATCTTCGATATTGAAATATTTTGTATACACCTACTTTAAAGTGAGTTATATATATATATGTTTGTATTCAATTATTATAGTTGATTACGCGGCGGCTGCTTCAGTATCCAACCTCCTCAGTGAATGGCCAGATGCTCGATTAGTCACTCTCTACCGTAGTGGTCGTAAAAGAGTTTCTTCTATCCATAGAGATAAAGGCGACCTTAATGATACATTTCGACGTGGTTTATCATCTGGTGGTGTTGGAAGTCTTGGTTTGAATATTGTTGGTGGTGACGGCTCTGAAGCAACTTTCATTTCTCATATACAACCTGATAAGCCTGCTGGTCAATCCAAAAGGATATTTGTTGGGGATCGATTGTTAACTGTAAGTTTTGAATAGATAATTTTTGTATATTTTTTTGACAAAAATTATTGAGAAGTTACTCTCAACCCAACAGTTGAAACTATAATGTACTCAAAAGGATCGTGCGGCATTTGCCAGCTTACACCATCTCTGGCGTAGCTACAAAATCCTGCCAGCTATCAATCAAACGACGTGTGGAATGCGCATCAGTACGCTCCGTCCTCCTTTATGACTGTGAAACATGATTATCGACGGTGGAATACATGAAAAGGCTAGCTGTCTTTGATGATAGGTACTTGCGTTCTATTTCCAATGTTAAGTGGTATAATAGGGTGAATAATATCAAGGTTAGGCGTTGAGTGTTAGGAGGCTAAGGAGGGAAAATCAATCGATAAGGTTGTGAAGCTACATCGATTGAGATGTCTAGGACACGTGTTACGCATACACTGCTAGCCATCACCTTCCTCGACGGAGAATGTTAGCTGGTATAGGATCAGGTTGGAAAAGAGCTAGTGGTGGTCAAACCAAAACATAGAATCAGTCCATGAAATGTTTGACAGTTAGTTTGAGCTAGCCATGTAGGTTGGGGTCCTCAGAATTCTAAGAGCCAATGGTTGGAGACTATGGGTGGAAGTCGTTGTCAGTGGCGGATGTGAATTAACTTCTTGTGGTCACCCATCTTCAGTAGAATCTTTGAATTTCTCATGTTACTATTCTTTTTCCCTCACATTTCTGCTTATTATCTTTCTTTTGAATCTCTTTCCTTCTGTCTCTTGAACTTCTGCATTTCTGTGGAAAGTTCTGTGCTGAAATCAGTCAGTGAGTAATGTATTCGAAATTTAGGACTCCAAAACCATGATATATATGTTTTATTATTATTATTGTTCCCTTGGGTTCCTAGTGACACATAGGGCTTCAACTGCACGTCTGCATTTGCTTCTCTCTTCTGTTGCACTTTTCACCTGTATCCATGTTAGTCCATATTGTTTCAACTCTTCTTCACACGATCTCCTCCATGTCACCCTTGGACGTCCCACTCGCCTCTTCCCTTTCAGGTTCCACTCGAGCTATGGCCTGACGCGCGATGTCATCCAGCGGCCTCCTCAGCGAGTGTCCAATCCATCTGCACTTCCTCCTGCATATTTGTTGGGCGATTGGTTCTTGTTTTGTTTGTTCCCATAGTTTCTTGTTGGTGATTCTTTCCAGCCATCTGATCTTCAGTATGGAGCGAAGATAGTTGTATATATATATATATAATAAAGTGCTTTTTCATCAAGTTGATTTAACAACAAAATGATCTCTGGACTTGTAGTGGTATCTTTCAGTAAAGTATACGTACACTGTATATATTCCCCTTCCTGGCAATTCTCGTTCACATTCATACTGTCCACGATATCTATGTATATTTATACTTTTTGCCTATCACATAAAATATACTTCACGCTTGTTCTTTATACGAATTCATCATTTCATTCAAAATATTTTTGTTTACATAATTATGATCAACAAAGAGATTATCTTAAAAACGTCATCAGTAAACCTACAGTACTGTATCACTGCATGCTCAGTCAAATCTTTTGTGGAAATATTCCCTACCTCAGTGGCCAGTGATTATTCTTATATTTATTTTGTTTATATGATGTTTCTCTACCTTTCTGATTAACAAGTCGATTATTATTATTATTGTTTCCTTAAGTTCCTAGAGGAACATAGGGCTTCAGCCGCACGTCTCCATTGCGTTCGGTTCTCTGCTAAAGTTTTCACCTGGCTCCACGTCTACCCATATGCTTTCATCTTCTCTTCACATGACCTCCTCCATGTCACCATCACACTGACGACCAACTCGCCACTCTCCGTTCGCGTTCTACTCGAGGGTCTGTGATGTCACTTGATGGTTTGCTTTCTCAGAGTATGACTAATGCACCTCCATTTCTTCCTGCATATTTGTTGCAAAGTGGATTCCTACTGGGTTGGTTCGCTCATTACCAGAGATCCCTGTTGTTGATCTTTTCTGGCCATCTGATCTTGAGCAGTATTGAGCGAAGACAGCTGTTGATGACGGTCTGTAGTTTGTTAGAAGTGCTCGTCATGACGCTCCAAGTCTCTGATCCGTATAGTAAGTAGGACTGATTTCACATTGGAGTTGAAAATCTGGATGTTATTTTTCATGCTGAGTACTGTTGACCTCCACATATACTTGAGAGTAATGAAAGCTTGCCTTGCTTTCCCGATCCTTGTTTAGATATCCTCGTCAATTCCGCAAACAAGCCGATGGTGTAGTTAAAAGTAAAAGCAACCCAGTACAAACGTTATTTTAGCTTTAGTGCGGATTTGAAGTCATGGTTTCAAAAAACTTAAATGACACGTATACGTGCATATAACTTATGTCTGTGGAAATCTCACTGAGTTTAAATTAAGTAGTCGGAACGTTTCATTTGTCAAAATGTTTAGGAAATTCTTCAGGTGAATTAGGATTTGTCCATGAGAAAGACACGACAATATCTCTCCTAATGAAAATCAAACCCCAAAGTTTGGAGACGTTACGTAGACCACACATTTGTATTAATCAAAAGAAAGGAGTCGGATAAAACTCACAACTTAATAAACAGCATTTTCAATGACATCAAATTCACAAGAGAAGAGGAGTCCTAGAAAAAAATCCCCTTTTTGAACGTCTTAGTCAAGTGCACAGCCACAGGGGAATTAGAAACTCAAGTTTATAGAAAATCAACTCACACGGACCAAATACTGAATTACAGCAGCAACAAATCAATAACACACATGAAAAGTTGTATACAAACACTATTCAAGAGGGCCAGCCAAGACTCATTGCAGCACTCCCACCTTAAGGAAAATTGAAGAGAGATATCTCATGGACGTCTTCCAAAAGAATGGATATCCACGGAATTTCGTCAAAAGGCATTTACCCCAAGCCAACCAACCAAATCGAAGGCCCCCGAGGAATGCACCAAGAAAATGGCCCTAACATAAATAAAAGAAATCTCAGAAGTCACTGCATGACTTTTCAGACCTTGAGGAATTGATGTTGCACACAAACCAACAAAATCACTTCACTCAGTTCTATGTCGACCAAAAGACTCAACAGCGAAAAAAAGATAAAACCAACATCATCTACAAAATAAATTGTAACAACTTCGAAAAACGCTTCATTGGCCAAAGTGGATGTCCCCTACGTCTTCGTATCCATAAACATAAACTAGTCGTCAAAAGACATGACATCCACTCCCTCGCTCATATCGCTGCATATAGACAACCACGGAGATCAATTCGACTGGGACAATGTTCAAATATTGTACAGAAGAAACACCAGGAATGCTAGAGAATTTTAAGAAGGCCGGCCTTCTGGTGAATCGTCAATCAATAGATGCATCGAGATAGACGAAATTTATCAACCGATAAGACAGAAACCTCACACACAAAGGGTCAAACTTCATTATAAGGAAACAATCAACATCAATACCAATACAAGTAGCCTGGAGGGTGTGAAAACATACAGAAGCAACCAATCACAGCGTTGAAGCTCACTAGGAGAGATAACTAATAAACTTGTGGAGAAATCTAAAAGTCCACTTCAATTCAAATTGTAGTATGCGCAGAAGATGTTTCCTAGTAGGGCGATGAAAGCTTGGAAAATAAACTATCCAGCCAACTCAGAGAACACAACCACATCAAAATCATTCACCTGAGCTACAAATCTCCTCCATCATATCGAATATATTAACACTAATCAGAACAAAACTATTATTATTACTATTCAATACATTTTTCCCCCCATGCGATATAGGTATTGTTTCATTCTTATTCCAAGTTTGAGATGCTGTTTCACTATCCGCTTAAGTACACTTACTGTTTTTAGACCTTTGCTTGAAATTCCAACAGTAAATAAATATTTGAATAAGAGCAAAAACAACAGTGATTTTCGCAGAATAAAATGGTACCATCATTGTTTATTTCGTTGGCTTCTCATCAGCCTAGCTGCTTACAGCCCAAAGACATTATTAAGTATATCTACAGAAACAATTTTAACATACTTGCACAGAGTTCATTTTAAAACAAAATCAATCAATACATGCATAAAATGTTAATTATAATAGTTTATTTTTCATTATTTTATCACTTTACATTCCCAGTGGAACATATGGTTTCAAGCTAGAGGCTTGAAGTTTCGTTAGCAGTAGTGTTTATTTTCACGGGATGTGGTTGCTGGCCTCATGCCAAAACTCTCTTCACCAATCTTATTACAGGCTTATCGAGGTGAAGGAGGGTGTCGGTGGTCAGGGATCGAACCCCGGACCACGTACATGGCTGTTGAGCATTCTACCGTTGTGCCACCGACGCTAAGCAATAATAATAAATACTTTATCCCAAATAATAATCATACGCAATGGAAACTTTTGATATTACGTAATCAGATGTAGGAGATTATGAAAACATCCAGTATCTGCTGCAGCAGTTACTTTGGAAGGACAGGAAGAAGAGCATGTCTCCTGTTTTTTGAACATGTACCAAAAAGCCCAAAGCGAACAAACGCTTTAGACAGTGCCATCTCTAGACATCTCTTTGACATGGGTAATGACCTGAACATCACAAGATCGTTGAAAATTATGAATAGACAAAAGAGTTCAATTCTCCTTAAGTTTGCCAAAGCAACCTCCATCAAGCACCTGAAACCTGATTTATGCTTTCAGAAAGAAGCAGTAATCAGCAGTCTTTCCTTGTCCTGGTAACTGGATGTTTCCATAATCTCTTTCATCTGGTTACGTAATGCCGAAATTTTCCATTATGTATGATCATTATTGTTTGTGATAAAGTGTTTATTAAATATACATATAATAATTTGCTTTATTCCAAAACAGTACTTGTGATACAGAATGGAATTCTCAGCATTTCACTACAGTATTGCATTCAGTTTGACAACAACATATTAGCATATCGGTAGCAAAGCCAAAATTGAACAGAATGTTTGAAGGTTTCAGAAAAGTAGATACTAGCATATTTAC